CGTCACGCCTTTAAGCCGCAATTCTTAAAACTAAAATGTCGCAAATTGTGAAAGGAAGGTTACTTAAACCTTCATTTATGAATTTTACGACCCAATAAACCTGTAAATGGATACATATCTTGCTATTCTAAGGTCAAGGCTGACTGTATGATCGTGTGAGGGATAATTTCGGCGGCCATCTTGGATTTTGGACATCCTAAGGGGCCGGGGTGAACTTTGAATTCAAGATTTGGATTCTACGACCAGAAATCTATTGGGTTCGATACGTCACATGCTATGAGAAGCTATTATAGAATTTTTGGTTCCAAAATTTCAGCAATTTTGGCCGCCATCTTGTAATTTGAAGCCTTAAATGAATCGCAAAGGATTTTTTAACATCATTTTTGGATTTTACGGCCCAAAAAATGGTATGTAAGATACCTCACATGCCATATAGGAGCACACGTGGCCGTTTGACTTTCAGGAGGGGAAATTTGGCCGCCATCTTGGATATAAGGGTCTTTGAGAAGTCGGAGTACATTTATAAGCATATATTTGAAATTTTCGACCAAAAATACGTAGGAACCGACATACATGTCGACCATGGGAGTCACTTTCACCCACTTCACCCCCGTAGCGGCCATTTTGGGCGCCATCTTGATTTAAGGGTGTTCCGGGAAAAATTGAGCCTGGCAGCATCGAAATTCTGTTTCAGGACATCAAGACGAAGAGATCAAGCCTTCTCGCCAGCTTGTATCATTAACGGTCCCACGGGACCCCAAAAATGAACATGTGCTCCCGGACTATAAACTCTCATGGGAGCACACGGGTCACTTGTCGGCTCCTAGGGAAGCTCACGGGCTCCCCTGTCCATTCCCCAGGGGAGCACATGTGATGTCGTGTCATTCCCCTGGGAGCGCATGTGATCACATATCATTTTGCGTGAGAGTGCGTAAGATCACATGTAATTCCCCCGAGAGCGCATGTGATCACATGTAATTTCCATTTGAAATTTTTAGCAGGCGGGAGGGGGGGGTCCCTACTTAAACCTCCAGGCTGACCGGGGTCTTAACACTAAACGCCGGGCGAGCCGGGGGCACCTTACCAAGCACTGGGCGGACCGCGGAAACCTTACCTTAAGTTCCTTAATTGAGTAATTGTGCCGGGCGGACCGGGGCATCTTGCTGCCTATTGGCGGTTGAGAGCGTTGATTTAAGTGAAGATTCTGCGAGGCAGTTTGACCGGCGTGATGCGCTCGGCATAAGACGCAATGCTACATGGAAAAAAGGTAACTTGAGGAACAAATACTGGTGATTTCTGGCCTTTGCTCTTTCATATTTACAATCTTGTACATAGCTGGGGACCAGCAAAAACATGACTTCCTTGACACAAAATAAAATAAAAAAAAACCCTAATGAAATTAAAAACACCTAGAAGGCGAGCGCTCTCTCGCGGAGCGCCGTCGCGTCGGGGCAGGCTGCGACGCGAGTGGCGGTGCGAGGGACGGTGGCGCGCGCGGCGGGCCAAAATAAGTAATCCGCGGCGCGAAGATATGTATACGCGCTCGGCGGAAGCGCGTGCACTCTGCATAATTTTTAATTATAATCTGATGAGTGCTCTGAGAGGATATTGGACCTTTTGTGAGTAGGACATTTTTATGCTCTTAACAACGTTAAAATTGAAAAGAAGATCGCTAAGATTTTGCAGAAGCCTCTAATATCAGAAGACATATACATAGGCATTTTACTAGCACAACTAAATAAAACTTGATTGAAAGATTATTATTGTTTTTCAAGGAATTTGAGAAAAAATAAACACTTACATCGAACATCCATGGACGTATGAGAATTAAAGATTAAATGATCATTACACGTTTTTAAAATCAGCTACTTGCTGTAATACAACGTCAAAACTTTTCATTCATTTACATTGAATTGTCAAAGTATCACACAGTCATATAAAAATTGGGAGCAGTGGTTCATCTCAACACCTTATCTACAGACTCTGAGACGAGTAGAAGTCACCTTGCACATAATACTACTTACCTATATTTTAAGCTTTTAATTTATCATAGAAATTTTTACAAGTTAAATAACTAGGTTCTTGCCAACCTGTGGTTATTTTTCAATATAGTTCTTGATCCTTAAGGAAACGGACACCAATTTAATAATAATTAAATGCCGGGTGTCGCCATCTCTAGCTAAGCCGACTCCCGGGCGGATATGCGATCCTCAGGCGCACTGTCCGATGCGATATCGCAGTGTCCGCGCCGGATACCTGCCTCGCACGGCGATGATGTTGCCTCCAAATCTTAAATCTAAAGACCTGCAAGATAACCTATCTGATGATCTGACTATGTATACCCTTTTGAGTATCTACTTCTGCAAGTCCTAGGTTGTTGATTCTCACCGGCTGCACACACCTACATATATCACCCACTCAGTATGATATCTTAAAGCAATGTTGTTATTTGCTGACATATGTTGATGTGATGTTACTAATATGGATGGAATGTTAAATCAGTATTGTCAGGATAAGACTGACAATATCAACATTGATGTAAGCTTGATAGACCGGCAATCAAGGAGATGTCAAGAAGTGTCAACCTGATAAAAATGTTGACGGGGGCATATCAATATTATGTAAGATTTTTGTAATGTTACTTCATAACCTTACTGTTAATGTTGTTGCAATGTTCAGGCAAGTCCCTGGCAGTAGCACATCAACATTGATGCAATCTTACCTCATTCTCACTAAGATGGATATAATATGGCTGCAATGTTGATGTGTAAGATGTGCAATATTACACTAAGATTGTATTAAGGTTCTATGCTCAGTGGGCATGACCCCGATTATCTTCCGAAAAGCATTTTCTGAATCAGACTTAATGTTTCGAAATCTCGATTTGTCATAATGGTTTCAATGTTTTCCTTTAAGACCGTGTTTAACACCAAGGTAAAAATCTTCTCTATCATTTGAGTTCTGCAAATTCTTTGAAAAATCATCCGAACAGACGTAGAAATCATCAATTTGTAATTTCTTTTATCAATTTTTTTTATTACTACTTCGAGTAGCCCACAAGGGCTAATCTTTGCACCCCTCCGATCCTACAACTAGTCCCAGGCAACCAGTGTTCAAAACTCACAGGCGCCAACGCGCCAAAAAATCGACCATGTCGCCTAAGAAATGAAGGCTCTGCGCCATTAACGTGGCCCCGAAAAATCTAGATTTTCACAGGAAGTCACTTAAAGAAAGAAAAATAAATCTATTTGAATTAAAAAAAAAAACTCAGAATTTTCACCACTACAAGTGAAAGCTTGCTTCTTCTATTCCTCACGATTTCATTCTTAGTGCTTTTGTCTTCCCCAGGTTACAGCTACTTACTAGTTCTGTTACGAAAACATCTTACGTCTAACTTTTCACTAAATGCCCTGTTAGTCCGAGAGCCAGGCGACTTTGAGTGACAAACTCGGGATACATGTTTTGACCCCCTAAGTCGATAGCCTTGCGTGCACTGAAACGGAAAATTTTTGTCTGCCGCCCTCTAGCCTGTGCCATCACCCTCATCTAGGCCCTCAAGTGGTCCAAAAAACACCATCTGGTGAGAAACTCCTGACGCTTGGCAGACAAGTTTATTATTAAAGATCATACCCAGGGTGACTAGAAAAACTTTGTCTGCCACCCTCTAGCCTGTGCCATCACCCTCATCTAGGCCCTCAAAGTGGTCCAAAAAACACCATCTGGTGACAAACTCCTGACGCTTGGCAGACAAGTTTTAGTGCGGTAGCAGATGGACAAAAAAAGACTCCTGTGTGCAGCTTGTGTAATAAAGTTTGAATGATACATCATTCTCTTCGGTTTTTCGTGTAGAATCCGATTTTCGATGTTGTCAAGTCCAAAAATGATGCTGGTGCCCCCAATTCAAGATGGCGCCCAAAATGGCCGCCCCGGGGGTCAAAATTCCAAAATTTGAGAATATGGTCGAGTTTGATATCCATTTATATGTAATTTTGGTCGTAGAATTCATATCTGGTGTCAAAAAATCATTTCAACCCCTTAGGGACCGTCAAATCCAAGATGGCGGCCAAAATTTCAACTTTAATGATAATTACCCAAGATGCGCGCAGGATACGTGTCTGAATAGTAATATTTTGGAAACCTACTAGGGAAAAAGCCCGAATAACATCAATCCACTGGAGTCATTTCCTTGTAAATGAATTATTTTTCAGGTGCATTCCATGGACGTACTTTAGGAGCTCTTTCTACAACAAGATCAAAATACATTCATAAGATTGATGCTCCCTCATTCGATTGGCCTGTTGCTCCTTTTCCGAAGTATCAATACCCATTGGAAACATATCAGTCGGAAAACAAAAAGGAGGATGAATCCAGCCTAGCAGCGGTGAGAAATTTTATGCAAACTCTGAAACTCAGTGTATTCCGAGGATATGGTTTTCAATTAATCATGATCATCTTGCTAAATCATAGCAGGGGCTTGATAAGTTTTTAAGGCATTGATAAAGAATTTACTACATAATTTTTGGGAAAGTCTCTCTTGAACTACTATTCTCTCTGAAACTATTTCACGGTTTTAGTTAGTTTCGTCGTTTTAAGCTTCATTTTAATTTCTGTCTAAAAAAGTGGAGTCCAATCATATTTCGAATGAAACAACATTGAGAAAATCATCATTTATTCATTTGATTCAGACAAAAATAGAACAGTGTATATAGAAACATGCGGCAGAATTGTCACATCATTCTTTTGTTGCACACCAGGTGGATCCATGGACCTCGAGGGGGGTCCGAGGGCCTCCTCCAGAAATTTTTTAAATTTTTGAAGCATCTGATATGCTGTTTTGAGTCAATTTTGTCATGAATAATTAGGTACCTTTTCATTCTTCTTTCTTCCGTTTTCCTTCTTCCTAATTCTCTTCATCTTCCTCGTGTTTTTCGAGCGAATGGGGTGGGGGAGGGCGCACGCCCCCTACGCCCCCCTTGGATCCACCTATGACACAGTTAATTCTAACAGCGCGGGTGTTCTGCTCCGCTCTGAGAAAAATTTGACTCACTATACCTACCTAGTTATAATTCTCATTATGGAACACATGAATTTTTAAACAAATCGTAAGTGCCAAGTACAACTTAAAAATGTATTTTCTTTAAATCTCTCCGATTAAAATATTAATGTTAACAGAAAATATCCTCTCTACACTGCCCTAATTTATTGGAGCCTTGAATAATTTCAGAGAGACGATTTTTAAATAAAAATAATTTTAATAATTAATTGTAAAAAATATCCTGCTCGTAATGTCTTTTTTTCTTATAAATTTCTTGTCCTCGAATTCCCTTAAATTATAGAAAATAGGGCAAATAGACTTGAAAGTCCTAGAATTCGCAAAATTTTTCATAGGTATTTACATACACTGGTAAAAAAACACATTGTATCTAGAGTCCAGACTCTTGAAAACATTGACAAGAAAATGGACTCTTGATTCAATCAGATGAAAAGGAAATCCGCTCAAATTAAGAGGCTTGGTTCTTGATTTAAGCTTAAATCTGATTGAATCAAGAGTCTGTTTTCTTGTCAATGTTTTCAAGAGTCTGTACTCTAGATCCAATGTGGTTTTTTTTTTTTTTTTTTTTTTTTTTTTTTTTTACCAGTGTATATCTCCGCATATCTCATTGCACATACATTTCCTCCAATATCTAATAACAGAAGTCTGTTGTTACTTAGCTTCTTAACTCTGATTTCTTGAGGAGGTTTTAGAAATACAGACCGATTAATTAAAGAAGAATTAGCGTGATTATTTATACAGGCTCCTATCAACCTGGAAAACCGATAAAGAGTTGGCTTCAAAAAATACCTTTCACCAAAATACGGGGTTGTAAAAAAGTCCCCTGCCAACCCTATTACTTTTTTCCGTTTGACGTAGGTAGATATTTAAAACTTTGGGAATGTTCCTAGGGTAAAATACCTAGTGGCGTTTGCCCCCCCCCCCCCCCCCCC